ACACACACATACACATATATATATATATATATATATATAAAAATAATTAGTAGTAGTAGTAGTATTTAATATAAATAATATTAATAATTATTGGTGATGTATTAACATAACCAATACTTATTTATTAATTCTTTAATAATAATAGTTTATTATTTATATATTTATTTTATATATTGTAATATTTATATAATTAATAACTGCAAAATAATAATAATAATTCTTATTCTTCTTACTATTAATATTATTATTATTATATATATATATTTTTTTTTTACCTTATTGAGGTTTTTCTAGTAGTGTTTGCTAGTAATGAACATTTACGCTTTTTCTAAAACTACATACTACATATGTAGAATAGAATTATTTCTTCAGCTTGGTCAAGTTTTAGAAGATCTCTTTGTCTGTTTGCACTCTTAACTTCCTTTCAAAACATTAATTATTAATCCTGAGGGTGCATTAAGTAATTGAATTCCAAAAATTAAAATGATGCTGTCTTAGACTCTAGTCATATCTGTGATCTGTTGTATTGTGTATATAAAGGTGGTCCTTCTCATTTCACTCATCACTGTAGCTTCCATCTTGAGAGCACATGACCAGTTCAATTCTAGGTACTTTATGACAAACAAAAATGACTTGGTGCACCTTTAACTAATTCTTTCCTACTGCTAATTTCCTCTCCAACTGTAAATTCATAACTGTAGAACTATCGATTTTGCTCTCTAATCTGCTGCTCTTTCTGTTTTTGTCTGTGGTTATTTCTTGTCATTGTAGGTTGTAGCCGCGTGCCTGAAACATGAGCAATGCAAAACACAATTCCTGGCTCTGCCTTGCATGCCTGCTGAAAGCCTGACCTCTTCTGGACTTACAAACTAACATCGCCTGCTCTTCTGTCTCTAACGTTCTTTGGTTCTGTGGGTGTTGGGATGGGGGACTGCTGTGGCGAGGTGTAAAACGAAATGCTTTGCCTTTTTTATTCCTATTCCTATTATTATTTTCGGAGTGTGCAACTGGTTCTCCCTTTCCGCTCCAGTTTGTGACGTCACGTGACGCATTTTTCCCGCTGGATTTGCAGGATTCAATGACACTACAATGAAGATGTTCTCTTTCTCTCTCTCTCCCTCTCCTGTGGTCTTGATGCCTCTTAGTCCTGTGTGACATGCGCTGATTCCGTCTCTGATTGGCTCGTCTGGTTCATGCTAACACACCTTTAGTTGTCACTCTTCCTCCATGGTGTCCGATAGTAGACGTTTTGTTTCACAAATGATAATATTCTTGATGGAAAGTTATTGAGCTGCGAGGGTCTAACAACATTTGGTGTGTGAGTCACATAAGGGCCCTTTCTGAGCACAGATTGCGAAAATGAGCCAAAGAGAAGCATGTGCGTCTTCTCACCTGACTACAGGGCCTGATTTTCCACGAAGAAGATGCTGAACGTTTGTATTAAAGCGAGATTTCGATGAACCCAGCAGAACAGTGTTCCATAAGTTGTGTAAACATGAACTCTCTTGCGTGTTTGTGTGTAACGTGCGTGTTTGTAACATTGTGTATGTGGAAGGGTGTGTGTTTGTTTGTGTGTTCTGTGAAAGACTGGACTTTGTGGTTTGGAAATATCAATGACGATGTAAAATGTTTATGTATAAATATGGTTTATTTATTGTACAGTCAATGAACAGAATTATTTTAATATTTATATGGACATTTTATATAAATATAAAAAAAAAAAATATATATATATATATATACTGTACATCATGACATTTTGAATAGGTACTGCTGTGCTATCCCAGATGTAAATATTCTTTATATTTTTTCATGTAAAAAAAAACAAAACAAAAAAACATGGAAGACTTTTATAGAATGGGTCGATACATGTCACGTACAGTCATATTTTTGTATTGCATGTGGCTACTGTACACAGTGTCTGTTCTCATCCTTGAAAGACAATAAAATCTAGCTTGTCACGTGACTGTGGTCAAATCTATACACGTTAGAATCTTAAAAGGATCTCAGGGATTTGCAGAGATTTGTGACGTGACGTCAGACGCGTGTTTACGATGATATTACAGTATGAATTGTTTCTCATATTGCACAGAACATGCATAAACCTGAAGTAGCCTGTGTTTCAACATATTATTAAATTAATCATTAAATGAATGTTCCGGATTGAGGGGTGTAACCAAATAATTATTGAAAAACCTGTATTAGTCAACCACTCATCTGAACATTTTGGACAAATATAGGCTACAACAGACTTCCAAGCACATGATTGTATGTAATTATGAATAAAGTTCCTCTCATTGAGCACAATTCTGTTTGATGTTATAATGATGGAAAAGACTCCTGTCTTGTAGATGTAAGACTTAATCTGCGAAAAAAAAAAAAAAAACACGCGAGTTCTGAATAATATGGTTTCTCTCAGGGGTTATACATGTAATGACCTGTAGAGGTCAGTGTTACACTATCTCCCTGAAGAAAGTCCAGCCCATAACTGGAAATGTGTCCTTTGTATCAATACACAGTTTCACACAACTTCACCAGCACAGTGAGGCCCTTGATACCACGTTTTTCCCCTTTAAAAATCATTTTCCTACTAACTAACTATGCATTCAGAGGTTCAGGAAACTATATGTAACTCTTGAGTGATGCAGGCCCCTCTGTGGGAAGATAACACCCTGCTGTTTAATGTACTGATTATAATGAATGTTTTTTTTTATATATATATCAAGAAATATGGCCTATCATTAAAGAACAGTGAAGTTTGCATGGTTATATCACAGCATTCAACTGTAAGAGAGCAAATGAACTGCCAAAAACCACTCTGCCAGCAGTCCATACTCTTGTGAGGTCTGCAGACTCTTGAGAAACTGTCCGTTCACTGTTTCCACTGCAGAGGTTTGAGCTCCAGGGCTCTTCACAAAGGCTTTCTTTGTGTCTCGAGGCAGCTTCTAATTTCTCTGTGTCTGAGAGCGTTCACTGTTCTGCGGTGACCATGCTGTTTCCGGCATCTCTTTGAGTTTTACTCGCCTCACACTGCCTGCAACAAGCTGCTCTTTCTTCTGCTCTCTCTCTCTCTCTCTCACTGCCTTTCCCAAAATTCATAAATCTGTTTCCTTTACAGCATGTGACTGTAACATGGCTAAATGCAAGAGAGATGGCCTGCTTTTAGACAGTGTTATTAAAACAGTACTTACTACATTACTTATTACACAAGAACTGATATTCACAAACCTCATTGCTATTCTAAAATAATATACAAAAAATAATGTAACACATATGTTCAGAAAGTTCTACATGAGGGATTGTTATATTTAGAGCTAATATGAACACAGTATGTTTATTTCTAAATAATCATTATTATCATAAAGTAATTTCCTGGTTTGTGATCCTGTCCCACTGGTTCTCTGTCTTTCTCTCTGTAGGCTATATATACATGAATATTAGTTTCAGTTTTTATAGTATAGTTTTCTTCTCCCTCAATTAATTCCTTACAGTATCCCTCAATTTTAGGTTTTAGGACAACTTTGATGAAAGGTTTTGATCCACTTCAAATGTTGACTAGTATATATATCAGTTTTAATTAATTTTATAGTAAGTTTTTTCTCTGACACTTAATTTCACGTCCGAGAAGCTTTACTGGCATGACTATATAATTATAAACCATAAAGAAAAGAACAAAATAAAAAAATACAATCTCTCTCTCTCTCTCTCGCTCGCTCTCTGCTGGCGCATGCGCACTCGGGTTTTCATCTCTCATCTGCACCGCTGCTGTGCTGCTGCTGCTTCGCTGGATCGGAGGATTCAAACTTCCGGCACTGTCATGGCGGCATGCTGCTGTTTCTGACACCGACCAGACCGAATACCGAGCCGCCCCTCGTTCGGCCCTCAGCGCGGCGCGGATCGAGGAGCGCAGGGGTCGCAGACGGCGGAAAAGGCGTCCTCTCCCCCTCCACTTCATCATCATCATCATCATCATCGGCGGCGGCGGAGGTGCTGGCGTGAGCGGCCATGGCGGCGCAGAAGCCCGTGGAGTGGGTCCAGGCCGTCATCACCCGATTCGACGAGCAGGTCAGAGCTCTGAACGCCTCGTCTGCACGGATGCGCAGTTAGCTGTCGCAGCGCATCCGTGCAGCCGCTGCGCGTCTCCGTTCTCATTCTGATGCTGTTGTGTTTATATCCTGTAACAACGTTAAATGCATGATACGCGACTAGTTTAGTAGTACATGTTGCTCAGCATCCTCTACTGAACCTGGAACTACGTTCTTACCAACTCTAAACCTAAACAAACCCTACTAACCTAAAATCATAGGGCAAGGGTTCATCTCGAAAATCAGTCCTCCTAATCACTTGACTACTGATTTTAGGGTTAGAACCTGTAGTAACGTGCCTGTCAAACAATTATTATTAAAGAAAAAGCAGAGAGCAGTAATTGGAACAACATTCTTATTGACCAATCTCTGCTCTTGAATTTTAGGGATAGGTTTAGGGTCAGGGTCGCCCCTATGCGGGCGTGTGCCATCTGCCAGACCCCTATGACCCCCAAGCCAAAATAAGATATCTTTCGCATTTGATTTAACCCGGCTTTAACTGCCACAAACACGTAAATTCCTCATTAAAATAAATCCATAAATTGCAGGTTTCTGGTATATGCAATAGTTTGTTTTTGTGTAGTTGTAGTGTTTGATTTAATGCAAATTTAACCTACATACAAGAAGAAATAACATAGAATTTTGTGAAACAAAACTTCACAAAAAGAACAGGGGTGTATGCGATAAGTGCCTCTGTGTGCGTAAATATTAAGACAGTTTCTTGGGATTTTAACCACTTTGTACCACTGTACCATGTGTTGCTTCTTAATTAATAATTGAATTTATTTAGTCATTTATTTTACATTTATCTGCTTTTGTAATTCACATCATGTGAGATGAGAGTTATTGTTTATACTTTC